CTCCTCCTCCGGCCCCCAATGAAACCTGACTCCCTTGGACGTCAAGGCATGCAATGGTTTCGCAATCGTAGCGAAGTCAGCCACAAATCGCCGATAATACGACGCGAACCCAATGAAACTCCTGACCTCTCCCACCGAGGTGGGAGTCGGCCAGGAGCTGACGCATTCCGTTTTGGCGGGATCAGTGGATATCCCCGAGCGCCCAACAATGTGACCCAAATATCGCACCGATTCGCGGAGTAAATGGCACTTCTGTGGTTTAAATTTCAAATTGGCAGCCCGCATTTTGAGAAAAACAGCACGCAACCTCTGGAGGTGTTCCTCGAAGGATTTGCTAAAGACGATGACATCGTCTAAGTAAATCAAACACGAATCCCATTGCAAACCTGCCAAGACCTATTCCATTAACCGCTGAAAAGTTGCCGGCGCAGAATGTAAACCCATCGGCAAGCGGTTAAATTGGAAGAGACCTTGCGGTGTACGAAAAGCAGTCTTAGGTTTTGATTCGTCATCCAGAGGAAGCTGCCAGAATCCTGATAGCAAATCGAGGGTGGAAAAGAATCGCGCACCGGCCAAGGCGTCGAGCGACTCATCCATCCGAGGAAGCGGGTACGCATCTGCCACAGAGATTTTGTTGAGACGCCGAAAGTCAACACAAAATCTCAGTGAGCCGTCATGTTTTTTCACCAAAACGATCGGCGCGCCCCACGGGCTGTTGGAAGGGGAAATGATATCGGCGGCTAGCATGTCATCAACAGCCGATTTGACATGATCCTTTTCGGCGGGACTCAACCGAAAGGGATTTTGGCGGATTGGCGCGCTGTCACCCGTGTCAATATGGTGTCGCAGCAATTTAGTACAACCAATATCAAATTTGTGTTGACTAAAAACGTCAGCAAATTCGCTCAGGAGAACTCGCAGCTGCGCGCGCTGCGAGTCGGACAGGTCCACTGAACCCGCGCAAAGCGCATCCAGCCATCCGTCATCACAGTCCGAATGCGGTCGCGACGGAGGATCGGTGGATACCTGGCCCACGAGTGGTTCCTCATAGGGTACCGGCGTTGCGTGTGCAAGCACGGTCCCTTGAGGAACCACGGCCGTTCGCGATCCCACATTAAGGACTGCAATGAAGGGGTCCCCATCCCCTCTCACCATGGTCTGAGCCGCGAGCAAATCGGGTCCATTTACCCCGGCCCGAGATGGTCCCAACAAGACCCCCCGATCCGCAACCCCTTCATTAAATGGCCGACGCAACCTAAGAGGGACGAGCATCTGAGCCCCCGGAGGTACGCGCACAGTTTTTGTCACGAGCGCCTGCACGGTGGCAAACGCCCGGCGCTCCGTGGTGGGGGAAGACAAAAATGTAACGCGTCGGCCCGATGGGAGCTCAATGCACCCCTGGTCAATCAGGATGCGGATGGGCATTTTGGCCAAGAAATCCGTCCCCAACAGGCACGGAACCGCGAGTGAGGAGGAAACCAAAACAGGCCCGGATAATTTAATGTCTCCAATGCAGATAGTGGCGCGGATTTGCCCAATAATGCCCAGCGAGCCCCCGTTAGCAGCATAGCATGGCACGTCAACAGGGAGCAAGGGACGACTTTGAACGGGAAGGATGTTATAAATCAAATCAGATATAATGGTCGCCGATGCCCCTGTGTCAATTAAAATCCGCACCTCTACCCCATCAATATGACCGACCACAACCGATGATCCCGCCGACGCAGCAACGACACGATGGGCGAGCTCCGACCACTGACCCGGTTGGAGCGCTCGCCGCATTATAGAACAATCGCGCGCGACGGACGGGGAATTTGGAGCCCTGTTTGGTTGAGCGCGTGAGTGTGTGTCGGATGTGTGGGTGGGCCAAACGTGTGAGGTGCCGCGACTCGCCGTATTTCTCTGCTGGAGCTTGGGAGGAGACGGCGTGGCGTCCTGACGAGGTGTCGCCCCGCGCTGACGGGGAGCCCGGCATCCTGACGCAACGTGGCCTTGCAGGCCACAGTTGTAGCAGCGTGTGAGCGCCCCCGATGTCCTGGGCTGCTCCTGGCGGCTCAGTCCATTCCGAGCCTGTGGTGCCGCCGCTCTCCATTCCCCTCGCCGCTCCACCCCGCAGACCTCCTCCGATGGGAGGGCGGTAGCCGCCATGGCATGGCTGGCCGCCCCCTTCGCCGCCTTTCGACGCAGGGACCGCAAGCCCCCGTGGATGTGGCGCGCGACCAGCAGGGACGACATCTCCGCGTCGTCCTGAGCCAGGACGTTGACGTCCAGCTCGTCAGCGAGTAGCAGCAGCTTCTCGGCCACCATGGCATCCACTCCTTCCTCGTCCATCCTTGGGAAAGCAGCCTTCGCCAGAGCCAGGAGGGCCGTCCGGAAGGCCAGGGGTGACTCGTTGGCGCCCCGACTCCGATCGTGGAACAGCTGCCTGCAGTCCGAAGGCGGCCCATAGACGGCTGACAGCAGCTGCAACGCCAGGTGTAGAGTGGCGCGCTTTTCCCTCGGCGCCGAGGTGAGGGTAGCCAGGGCGTCGTTGTCCAGCATCGCTGGCAGCGCGCGTAGGGCCTCGGCGTCCGACCAGTTCGCCATCTCTTGATGAGCGATGAACCGCCTCTTGAAGCCGCCCCAATCTCCGTCAGCGCCGACAAATTCTTTAAGAGGCGGCAGACACTGTTGTAAGGCGGCGTCCGTGGCCGCAGAACGCTCTCCGTCGCTCCCCGCCGATGATACAGTGTGGGCGAGCCGTGCACATGGCATCGCCGGTCGCTCCGATGTTGACGCGCCGGCCGGCGTTGATGATGTCACGGCTTGTGCTTGGCGCTCAGCAGACACGTGACGCGGGCCGGCCCCGCCCTCCGCTCGTACTGTAGATATGGCGGGAAATTTGACCGCGAGCCGCGTCGGGGTGGCGGGAAACGTCGCCCCGCGCCGGCTGCCGTCGTCGACCCGCGCTGCTCCTCCAGCCCCCAGCCGCGTGATCTCCTCCAACGCGGCGGCCGCGGCGTAGAGCAGGTCCGCCAGGCGGGAGTGGGCCAGCCGGAGTCCTTCGGCCGACGCATCCCCCTCCTCCTGTCGTAGCGGCGCGGGCGTACTCGGCCCCGGCTGCTCCGAATCGACCCCGGCCATCTCTGGTGGTGATTCGGCCGCGGCGTCTTCCATCTCCGACTCCCTGGTACGTGTCGTCCCTCGTGTGTCCATCGTTGGACGTTTACTTCTGACACCAGATGTAGTAAGTATATATGGAGGCTTGACGACAGGATCGGAGGCATACTTATTTATTACACCAACACAGTTATTACAGGTCACTTGGCTACAGGGATTCTCGACAGCTAACCCCTCTAACCTATACCAATTCCTCCACTACGGGACTAGGGGAGGCTATCTGTCCCAGCTTGGTTAAGCTGGGATCCCGGCTCCCTGAGTCACCAGACCAGCTTCGTCTGGGCTCTCGGGGCCACGCCACCGGCTTGCCCTGGTCGGCCCTTATAAGGACAGCGAGCCAGGGGAGCTCTGGGGCCTACACTAGCTGGTCTTCCGTCTTCTCTGGTTAAAGCTGAGTCCCGACTCCCGAGCCTTTCGGCTCATCACCTTTTATAGGACTTGCCCCCAAGGGGGGGGCCCGTGGGGGATACACATGCGGACGTCGGTGCGAGCGCCACCCTTGTGTACGGCCGTAACCCCGCCCCTTGTGTTTGTTGGCCATCCGTGGCCATGCATAATCACACCTCAACATTCGTAGCCATGCGCAATTACACCTCTACATCTGCTTGCTTACGACCGTGCAAACCTTTCGATCGTTTTTTAACCCACTTCCCGTGATCCAATCGAGCTGACATTTTGCACACATACTCGTTGTGCGAGACAATTAATGTTCGTGAAAAAAATTTTCCAAAATTTTACACTGTTTAGGGAAAACAAATTAAATATTTAATTACCAATTGTGTAATACTGCAGACAATCATCTGACCCATAGGTGGCAGCCATCTCAAGCCAGAGGACGAGAGGACTCTAGCCGCCACGCATATAAAAGATTTAGAGTGAAAAACTTTGTTTTTATGGGTTATACTTATTAAATCCTTTATATTAAGTTCGCTTGCTTGCGTGCTTGCTTGCTTGCTTACGACCGTGCAAACCTTTCGGTCGTTTTTTAACCCACTTCCCGTGATCCAATCGAGCTGACATTTTGCACACTGACTCGTTGTGTGTGACAATTTATTTTCGTGAAAATTTTTTTCAAAAATTTTCCACTTTTTAGGAAAAAATTTTTTTCATATTTAATTTAAAATACCAATGTGATAAAAATGAAACTCTTACTCAAGAAAAGCAGAAATGAATAATAAAATAAAACCGATGCCACGCATATAAAGGATTTATAGTGAAAAACTTTGTTTATACGGGTTAATTTTTTACAACACCTGCTGGTGAGATCTTACGTGCACTGTCATGCGCTCATACCAAAGCCTGTAGCTTTCACAAACGGGGATGTGTGGGCCTAACACGGGGTCAAAGATGTAACTGTGCAAACGGGCAGGGCCGGGAGATCGATACATAATTCTGGGTGATATTGATATTGCAAAACGTAAGTGTTATTGATATATCTCATTATTGTGACATTAGCTTTGGGATGCTTTAGAGTTAAAGCATTCAGGCACGTATACTGCGGGACTTCGATTTGACCTTGTCAAACACGCATGACGTGATACGCTCCAAATTGAATGCCCCCCCCCCCCCCCATACCTTCGCAACACGATCTGTCTTGGTGTAACGATAGAGTTGCGGGTGTTATTTAACATTTGGGGATCGGCCTTTTCGTCTTCTTCGGGGTTGTCCATCGTATCCGATGATGACCTTTCTCCTCTGACTCTATTTGTGGGATTGTGTGTGAATGTCAAGTCAAATCCTCGACCCACATCGTCTGCTACAGACAAAGCAGGTGAAGTTGCTGATTGTAGGCGCGGTTCTGGCTTCATGTCTCTTAAGACGCTGCCTTTTTCGTAGCTAACTTCGGTCCTCTTCCAGTTTCGACGTTCTCTGCTGGCAGAGCTGGTGCCAGACGGAGCTTTCTGCGGCAGTGTCCTCCAGCTGGGTAGGGTTCAGGCTGCACTTTTTCATGGCCGTCTTCAGTTGGTCCTTGTAGCGCCCTTTTGCTCGCCCCCTGTAGAGCGATGGCCTACAGATCGACAAAAGCCATGAAGAGGTTCTGGTGCTGCTCCCGACCCTTCTCCTGGAGCTGTCGTGCTGTGAAAATCATGTCTACAGTGCTCCTGCTTCACCTGAAACCACACTGCGACTCAGGAAACAGCTCCTCTGTGACGTACTCTTAGTTCTTTCGGTAAAGGCACGTAGGTAAAATATGACTTTACCGAAAGAACTACGAGTATGTGATGTTATTGTTTTATTTTTATTAATTTTAATTTCATTTTTTACCTACGTGACTTTACCGAAAGAGCTAAGAGTATGAATCCTTGCAGTCACGAAAGCTTCAAATCTAGAATCCTCTGTGACGCTCTGCACCAGTCTGTGGAGCATTGCTTTGGCAAGGACCTTGCCAGCAATAGCCAGTAGTGAAATGTCACAGCCGTTACCGCAAATTGACTCATCACCCTTGCCTTTATAGATGGTGGTGATGTTTGCGTCCCGCCATTGCTGGGGGACGATTTCATGCTCCCAAACTTGAGTGATGAGGAGATGTAGTGCCTCAGATACAAAGGTAACCTCCTTCTTTGGAGATCTCCGCAGGGATGCTATCAGGACCTGGGGTCTTGTTGTTTTTCAAAAACTTTACTGCTGACTGAACCTCTGCGAAGGTTGGTTAGAGATCCAGGTCTTGAATAGTGGGGCAGTCAGGTAATTCGTCCAGAACAGAGTGGTCTGCAAGTTCAGCGATCATCTGTGGCCAAGCTCAGTGGACCTTACCGAGTAAGATTTTTTTTTAAACATCATCATTTAAACAATATTCTTAGTTCTTCTTCTTGGTTCTTTCGGTAAAGTCACGTAGAATGGAAATAACAAAATAATAAATTATAAACCATAATAAAATAATTCTCATTATTTTATGTTTTATTTTTATTATTTTATTATTTCCATTTTTACCGAAAGAACCAAGAAGATGAATCCCTGCAGTCACGAAAGCTTTAAATCGAAATTCTTAGTTCTTTCGGTAAAGTCACGTAGAAGGGAAATAATAAAATAATACAACTATTACATTTTATTGTGAATTTACCAAAAGAACCAAGAATATGAATCCCTGCAGTCACGAAAGCTTTACATCGAAATTGAAACAATAGTGTAAGTTACTCACTTGCCACCGTCTCTCTTTCCACCCAGCAGTGTCAGCATCAGAATGTCCACTTCTACCGGAGGAATCCGATGAGCTGTAAAGCTTTTTTTTTACAGCTCTCCCATAGACGAGTATACCACAGTCGATCGGCAGGTCACACAGCGTGTGGTGGAAATAAGGTGTGTGCGCACCCATCTCTTTCAACACGTCTGGTTAACGTGAAAGAGTCGACCGGATACCCTCGAGTTTGCTTTCATGGAGGTCCTTCCGCCAGCAGCAGCGTAAGCAATTGCAGGGCCGCACCTTTACCTTAAACCCCAATTGCTCGCGCGGTTGACCGACACTGGAAAATAAACCCCCGCTGTGAACTTACCCAAATTCAGCTTTCGTCTCAGAAACGAAGAGATGCCGCGACTCTAATGCGCTCGTCCCCCTCCAACCCAGCTTAAATATACGCTCCAAGCCTGGGGTGTTTCATTCAGACGCTGTCTTCCCGACAGACCTGTTCGTCACCTGAGGACGGCTGCTTGCGTTGTGGCCGAAACGTCGTGAGAATTATTTTATTTTTATAATTTTATTATTTACCTTCTACGTGACTTTACCGAAAGAACCAAGAAGGTGTGTATGTTTTATGTATTTCGCGTAACCAAACGTGCTAATCGGAGGTGGTTCTCAAGAAATGAGTTTTCAATCTAGATCTAGTGGCTTCCAAAAATCAGAAGAGCGGTCCAGACGGCCGCAGAAGCGCAAATGAAAGCGCGCGATATAGTGTACTTCAATACCACCGCTCGAGATTATTTAGCTCCATCATACACTCCGAAATGTAATATTGGTTATTCAAAAACAAAATCAGATCCGTGCATACTACCTACTGACACGTAAGTCATGAACCAAAAATTGGAACGAAAATTGAAAAGTGTGCGAAGAAGCATGCTTGTAATTACATTGAGAGGCACAAAGAAGAACACATGCGGTGTGAATGAAATAATTCAAACTGTTAAGAAATGGAAGTTGGCTCAGGCCAGACACATGGCGAGAAGGGAAGATGGGCAATAAGTGAAGAATAACTGAGCAGCAGCCAAGGAATGTAATATCACGGAGCAATGAAATTATCTCGTGTGCACGTTTGTGGTAGGTTACATGATAGAAGTGATAGAGACAGCTTGGGGACGTCTTCATCTAACAGTAGATAGACCAGTTTGTTTTTTATTAGTGGGCGTCCCAATAATGGCTTGGTGACTTTTTAACAAGCAAATGTGTTTTTTTGTTTGAGAAAACTCTGGAAACCCAGAGATACATGCAATTAGGCTATAGGTTGTAAACAGAAAAGAACATCCCCATGGAGAAACTCAATTATATACCCAAGAGCTTTGGTGCATTAAATATTTCATAGCCAGCAAGATAATTGTAGACAAAACGCAGAAGCGGCTGTCACCGTTAGCCGTCTTGCTGATTGTTCAAACCTCCCGTGCCAATTACTTCTCACTGGGATAACATTAGGTCATTACCCTTCATCATTTACATAAACCAAAGGTGGACTTGTCGGTCATTGTTGGCCGTCACCCGAGTACCAACACTGCATACTGTGACCTCTCAAATGAGCAATCACATTACACATCGCTCACCCCTGACTCCAGAACAGTTGTATAAACCGAGTGAAAGATTGATTTAATAATTTAAATGTAATTTCAAACACGTATTAAGAGTCCTCTGCAGTGATCGCATTTGCAAAGGTGCTTCCCCTGAAGTCCCGGATAACTGAAGTGTCAAAACCAGAACTAAATGTATTTTTTTTTCACACGCGCATACCATATCACCACCTCTATATTCCGTAAACAAACGTGGTGCAAAATTGTAAATCAGCTGGGCTTGCTTGTTTGGTTTTGTGATATTGGGGGAGAAAACATGAAAAAAGATGTTTTATTGTAGCTGTCATTTCTCTTATCGCTTTCATAAAAGGGCCAGCAATGGAAGAAGAAAATAATCCGCATCCAAGACGAATAATACTCACTGCACAAGTGGCATACGATGGTTTGCATTACTTTACAAAAGCATCCCAACATTACTACGGAGATATTTTAGAAATGTTTTTGTTAATTTCCATGTAATTATATAATCGCCGCATTATCATTAAGGATATACCATTAAATTAAATTCCCCAAAAAAAATCCGTTATATAATGCGCCTTGAAATATTTCGAAATGGCCACAGAAAATACAATGTAGTTCATGTTTTTCAAAACAGTACTATACTATACAATATCACCCTCTAGTGGAGGGTCGTTTAGATTTGTGAGTGCATTCCATGTTAAATGAATAACTTATAAACACACTTATGTTATTATCTGGAGTAAACGGGAAAAATCTAACTCATCAGACATGTTTTATTACATACTGCATTGCACACAGGTCAAATGCCAAAACCTGACATGCACAAACGTTTTCTTTCAACACTTCAATAAATATTTTCAACAAATGAACATTTTACAAAATTTGTATTGTAAAAAATCAGGGTCATATAAATAACACAATCGATTTAACAAACAAAAAAAACACTTAATTTTGAAAGCACTCATCCATTCACAGCAAACGTGATTTAAAAAAAAAACACAGCAGGAACACCGGGACCAGTAATCATCATCACAATAACAGCACATCACTAACTTTCCAAAATCATAATTCGCAAGAATTACAATTGCTGCTAACCTTTTGGTGCAACTTATGAATGCATCACTTAAAAGCTTGTCTGTAATGCCCGCTCATGCGCACATTCCAATTAACAGGTTTTTGAAATTACAATAGGGCTCCAGAGGCACGCGACTGCATAGAAATAATGTAAATTATAATTGGTTAATTAAGTAAAAAGTGCCTGTCATCCGGAGTGGTAAAGATCATGTGATTCATGTCATTTTCGCTTAAGTTGTTTACATCAATGACATTGGAACACGGGAAAATGTTGTGAAATTGTAATTTAGCTAATGCCACATGTGCATATCTAAATATTTATAAAAATGGATGCTCTGGTTTATTTAAGGCAGCATTAAGCTCATGTAAATATTGATTAATTTCACTATAATGCACCCACGAGTTGCCTTCTAACTTTTGTTCATTTGCGCGCGTTACAGGTTGCGTAATTGTTACTTTGATTGCAATATTTTCACAAGAGTTGATACACCAATTCAAAACTTTTGTCCATGGTGAAAAACTCTGATAACAAAAGTATGCGCTGTACCCTGGAAATCCAAATTACAGTTGTGTTGTTACATGATTACATTTATTTTGAGGTACATTGTAGAATATCCTCTATGTTTTGACAAAAATGTAGTCTACACATACTGCGCTGTGTAAACAATGATTTTTTTCCCCACACATCCGCATTGTATTATACAAATAATTTCTGTACAGCAGGATCATAAAAATGAAAAACTTTTTAGCACCTGTTATTGACATAATGGCGTTCTCATGGATACCGATTAATTTGCCACGTTTCATTGTAATGGTAGATTTTTTTGCGTGAAGTAAATTCAAGCCAACACAGCCAACCCACAAACCCATTGTTAGCTCATTAATCTAGCAATGTGTACAGCACACGCATTTATCAGGAAAGTTCAAGTAAATACGCTGAGGGTTCATTTCACCCTTGCTTGTGTTTGTAGCAAAAACGCCTCCAGGAGATAATTGTTCATGGCCCGGCAGATGTGGATGCAACAAAGACGTGCAGCTTATTTGTATGCTGTGCCTCCCCGCCTGGCATATCTGGCTGTGCACGTACTGTATGCAGACACGAGTCTCTTACAAAACGGGATCGCTTTAAATTACTTGCACAACCCACACATCTATGTTTCATGGATTCACATATTTACACTTTTTTTCATTATAAAAATAGAAGTTTGAATACAAAATACTGTATAATCATAAGTTTGACACAAACGTGACAATAAAAATATAAGTGCTTCGAGCATTATTTCATTTCTTCCGGACTTTTTGCTTCGAAGGTTGTTTTTCTTTAAGTGGCGACAATTTCAAATCCGGTGACGGCTTCCTTTCTTGGCCACCTGTACAAAAACGCAGGTGATGTGTTACAAATGAGCACTGCTCCGTTGCATTGCGGTTTTTCTAGACAAATCAAAATTTTGCACGCAATCAGGATTAAACCTAATATGCATGCCTTCCCCAATAAATATCTTTTCTTCCATGAGCAGCATTCTGTTTGAAAATAAATCACGATCGATAATTATAACAATTACTACATTTCGTATTTGCTTCATTCTTAGAGCACGAAGGCATTGTTTCAGGTGGATGCCGTCGACCAGTAGTGGGCAGTGCTGCTGTGGTTTTACTAATTTAGATCATTTTCAGGGATCTTTAAAATGTTGCAAATTTGGACTGTGATACTGGCACAAAGCACCTAGCGCTTGTGAAAAAGCACGTATCTTTGGTTAATACAGCCGACGTATTAGTACACCTGCTCGAACCGTGAACCTCTGGAACAAGAGGCAAACGTGCTACCGCTTGGCCATGAAACAAACAATTCACGTAACAAGCTGAAAGATTGCATGCGAAAACAAGGTCAGTTGCCAAGAGCACAACCTGCGTAGTCTGTCAGAGCCGAGCTGCTCAGAAAGCTTCCCCCCTCGTGCAAAGAGGACAGTGCCGACAGTCCTTGATGCGCGGAGGGATGCATCAAATTCCTGTTCCTGCAGAACCAAGGGGGGAGGGAACAAAGCTACCGATCTAAACTCACGCCGAGTCAACTATTCATTGCTTCCATAATTACTATAGTTTGTAATCGTCCAAGCTTTAAAAAAATAAAGATTGATAATGTAAAACAAATATTAGTATTTTCGGCCAATAGCGATATGCCCATAGCATATTATGTATGTAAAATGATGTAAACATTTCCTGTAGCTTAAAATAAAATAGGAAGAGCAGGCAGTTAGCTAAGCAGACGTGCAGCGGTTAGTCGGTACCCGGTACTCTTCGACCTTGCGTTTTGACTCATCCAACTGGTGCTGCAGAAAACCCAGAGACTCTCGATACTTGGAGTATCGCTCCTGAATTCTGTTCTGCTCTTGGTGAGATTCCTGGTTGAACAAACATATACGGTGAGAAAGCCTGCTCAATTCAGGGCATAAGACTGAATGATCTATTCTAACACAACACTCCAAAAGTCAATCACATACTTCCAAGTCCTTGAGTCCCTCAAGAACTTCCAGTTTCTCTGGAACAGACTCCAAGTGATCCAATGCTACCCGTGTACTCTGATAAAAAAAAGATATTTGACAAGAAACAAACAGAAAGGCATAATTTGAAAGCAGATCATTTTAAACGTCTTTCAAATATGGCAGATGTTTTTATAAGTTGTGATAAAAGTACTCACGATTTCCAGATCTGCTATTCGATCCTGTGAATACGACAGAATACAATGGTCAGATAACTTGTGCTAAAGTGTTGTGCATATTAAATTAATTGTATCTGTTATAAGTTAAAGTAAATCTTGACAATCACCTGTAGAACACGGACTTCTTCATCCCTTTTTCTGTTTTTCTCCAATAGATCTTAAAAGAGGAATTTGCACACTTCACTTATTTGATGGACAGAATCACATAAAGTACTGCAGTTATTATTTGTTGCAGGTTTGATAAAATGAGTGTGAGAAAACGAATGGCCTAAGTTGCACCATAAGACTCTCAACCACCTACTGTCAAAAACGTTATCCTACAGATGTGCAAGACAGGGTGTTTTAAGAGCATTATAACCACATTACATCCATTTTCGGGAGGGTGGGAGGCGAAAAACTGGCGATAAATTTTGAACGCAAGGTGCCGGGACAACGTGCGCTGGCATAATCTGTTTATTAACACCTGCCGCCCCCCCCGTACCTCTTTTCTCTCGGTGGATCTCGGCGAGCAATTTCTCTTGCTTGGTGAGCTGCTCCATGTAGAGCTGCCGCTCGGAATCTTTACCCTGGGCCGCCCCCCTCAGCTGCTCACGCACTTGCTGGAACTGCCGCCGGAGACGCTGCTCCTTTTCCATGTGTTCCGTCAGCTCTTCCCGCACCCACTGCAGCTTGGCCTACGCCCACAAAAAGCCGTATGAGCAGCGACTTTGGTAAGTACGTATATGACGTAATGAAATTTAACTGATGGGAGAGTGGCATGGGAGTAATCTTAAGTACTGTTTTAATTGCAATATAAACCGTTACAACCAAAGGAACCCACAAGTACAAGTCGTAACATAAGTACAAACATTGGTAATACAACACGACTCACCTTCATTTCTGCTGACCACCTATGGGGGTCTCTTGGTAGTTCATCATGTTTTGCCAATACCTGCGTGCATAAATAAAACAAATAAGACCATCTTATGATTGATCCTCAAAAGTTACAATTCAACTATCTAAAAATGGGACGTGTTTACAGATTTAACATTTCAAATTGTATCAAACAACATGTGTGCAATATGACAATGATGCCATATCTATTCAATGTAAGAAGGTGTAGGCCCTGTGGTTACTTGCTCACACCACTGCTGGGAGAAGAGCCTCCACTCGCAAGAATTTGAGAGAGCACCTCTGGATCGTATTTGGCCTGCTCTTCTACTCTAGCCAAATGTCTTAGAAGAGATGTAAATACCTCGCCACATGTAACGTCCTAATCGAATACCTGCAGTGAACCGAATTATACTGCTGGGTGGGGGATTTAAGAAACCTGCCCACCGTTCCAACTGCCGCACTATGAGATTGAATGGATTCTGCTGAGCTTTGGATTGCAAGTCGAGTTATCTCCTCCGTCTCTATATATAATACGCTCATGTTTTTTTTTAGTTTATTTTGTTTTCATTTGTTTTGTTTAACCTTAGCAGCGTCCTTGGAGACGATTTCACAAAGGGCCACAATCTCTTTGCCGACAGCACCCAGGACGGACTCGAGTTCGGTCTCCAATCCGGCAACCCGCTCGCCCAGACGGCACGTCTCCTCCTCCAGCTGCTGCTCACGCTCCCCACGGCTGGCCGCCAGCTCGCTCTGCCGAGCAAAATTGGCACGCACGCACAGATCACACATGCGCACACACAAGCAATCCCCCCCCCAATCCACACCGGCGTCAAGACACCAACGAGAGAATGGAGCTGGCGCGCAGGGACATAACACATTAATCACAGACAACGCAGCAACAGTTTTGCGCTTTGTCGGTTCATTTTAATACATGTCGCCATTCAATGGCTGCCATTCCAGACAAATTGAAAACACGTATTCACAATAAATGTCTGCATTAAACACAGGCATGAAACGGACCTTCTTCTCCAGGTCCTGGCGCACAGTCTGGTATTTGCGACGAAAACGAGAAAGCTCTTCCTCACGCTGGCCGAGCTCCGAGGTCAGACGGTCGCACTCCACCTTCATCTTGTCCATCCGTGCGCGCACAGACTTGGCGGAACTCTTTTCCCCCACTAGCTCTGCCTGAGATGAAAGAAATACGTTATTGAAAAATGACTGACACACAAAAAGACAAACGGCTGCAGCGCTGACGTAAAAATCTGGCCTGACCGAGTAGTAGCCTTGTGGTTGGTCAGCATGTTCGGCATCAAGTCAAATTGTAAAACGCAGACAGTGGGATTCCCAAAGCAAACTGATACTTTGTAGCATTATAATGGAGAAAAAAAAGTGTTAATAGACAAAGAGAGGCATTTCTAACAGGCGCTGCGCTTGACAGATGATAAATGTGCACCTTGAGGCTCTCGATGTGGTTTTCCAGCTGGGCAAGCTCCTGCCTGTAGGCATGCGCTGCCTTCTGGGTGCTGGCCTCATGCTGGGTGGCAGCCACTTGTGCCTCAATCCTCAGCTCCTCAGCCTCACGGTGATGCGCGTCTCTCTCCAGTGCAAGTTGGCGCTCAAGCTGCGTGACCTCAGCCTGCGCTTTTGCAGTCTCCTCCCGAGACTCCACCAGCCGTGTGCGAAGCTCCTTGCCCAGACGTTCCTCCTCAGTCAACCTAGAGCATTGGGTCGGAAACCGTTTCCTTATCGAAGGCTGAATAGGAATTCGCAATATTTGTATCCATTTACCACATGTTAACCCCCAGTCACTGCTGTCACTGCTGGAGGCCCTTGCAGTGATGTAAGTGACTAAACTTAGAAGTGACAAAACGTATAAATGCGGTGTTGATCATCAGCCACAATCAATTCACTGGTGAATGAAGATCTAAGCAAGCTGTTTTCTCACAATTATGCAATGTAAAATACATCGTTGCCAAGTCCAAAATATTCCCTTCTCGTACCCAATTAGTGCAGCCAAGATACTTGCATTGATGAATAAATAGCGCTCAAAGCGACAGGCTATATGACGTGCAGCTACATGCTGTATCTGGCCCATGGGCCATAGGTTCCCCACGCCTGACTGAAAACAACGTAGAATTCACAAGCAATAAAATGTATTTTATCAGGTATTATTGCTTTCAACCGCAAAATCAGGTGGATGTCACTAAAGGTTATATCACTTGTGTTTAATGCCTTCAGAAAGAAAAAAAGCAATGCCAATTCTCAAATGTTAACACAGTTTAATGTGAAGACCATTTCATGCCATATCAATTTGAAACCATAACAGTGGGTGTCGGACAAAATCCATATTAAAGCATATTTCACGACGAGTTCAATGTCTCGCCATCCCGAAATCTTCCAGAAATGCTTTCAAAAGGCGGTTTTCTCACCTGGTTGCAATCTCTGCTCGCTGCAAGCCCTGATCGCGGAGCTCCTTCTGCAGCTGCAGCGAGGTCTGGCGGTCGCGCTCGTGCTGTGAGCTCAGCACAGCAACCTCCTCCTCCAGACGCCGATTCTCCTCCCGGAGCTGCTCTGCCTGCAAGCCTCGGCGCTGTGTCTCCACGTCCAGCCTCTCCGTCCGCTCACGAGAATCGCCCAGCTCGCGCTCCAATTCCGAACGCAGTAGGCGAAGCTCTCCCAGGTCAGAGTCCTCAAAACCAGAATATAATGTAACAGGTACAGGTGCAACCCTGCAATTCCTTACTCATGGCACTGCTGACAGAAGGGTCTCTCCAATAGTGGGAGCTCTAGACAGCCCCTCTCGAGGGATATTTTGTCTACTCTTCCATGCTGGCCACCACACTTTACTCCATCTGCTGATGGACTGTGGTGTACCCAGATGGGAGATCAAACCAACTGCCTTTGGGTTGCAAATCCAGTGTAACAACCATTACACTCCATGGCGGAATCTCCAAAACCAGGATGCAGCATAAATAATTTAAACTTTGTCAAATGGTGGTTTTGTGTTTTTCTTTATAGATTTGTTTGGCGTTTTGTAATATTAATTTCAAGCCAGGTCTTCATTGAAAGAGAATCCTGGTCTAATGGGTTCTTATGAAATGATTCAGATCTACCTTCTTTCATGTGCACTGTGCAAGTGAAAGAAAACATGCAACAAGAAACAGGTTTTTAACAATGTTCAGAGGAATGTAATCATCGCAATTTTAGCCGATTAGTTATGTTCATCACGCACACAACATGTCTCATAGCTGACCAATCACCTTGCGGCGGATGATTTCCTCCTGCTGGGCTCGTTTGGCCAGCACATCGTCCAGCTCCCGCTTGAGTCCGTCCACTCTCTGCGACCCGGTCACCAACTGCGAGCGAAGGGCTTCACTTTCCTTCTCCAGCTGCCCGCCCTTTTCTGTGGCGCGTGTCACAACCTCCTTCTGCTTGTCCAGCTCGCGCTCCAAAGACCGGCACTTTCCCTTCCACTGGCGCAGAGACTCCTGCGCTTTCTGCCTCAGCTCGTCACGACGCCGCTCCGCCTCGGACAGCTGTTGGTCCGTCTGGCGAAGCTGCACCTGATGGCCCTCGATGTCCCGGGACAATTCCTCAGCATGAACCTCAGCCCGCCGCCTCTCGCGTTCGCACACCTCGTACTGGCCTTGCAGCTGCTTCAGCTGCTCCAGCATGCGCAGAGTGTGTCTCTCGCGCTTGTCCACATCGGCCGACAGCAGCTGCCAAAGCGTACAATGTAATATAACTCAGGATTGTAAATTTTAATATAAATTGTTCTGTTAAGTTGTAAAATAAAAAATTGTACGAGCCAACACATATTTAGATATATTAAACTTGGAAAGCTCTTACATTGACAAGTAAATTTGCACACATCAACCTACACTAAGTTGCATGAGAACTTTAATGTAGACATTACAACCAGTTTAATCATATATCATATCAAAGTACATGACTTTTTTTTTACTGAACCAGAGTAATTTACCTCTACATGAGCCGTGAGCTTTGCAATCTCTTTCTCTTTCTTCTGCAGAGTATGTTTTAATTCATCCATCTCAGTGAGTACAGCACTGCGATTAAGTTGTGCTTTCAGTTCCAAAACTTGTCGCTCCAGATCCTTTTTCTCCCTCTCCACTTGGATATCCAACACAAAGAATAATTCAAAAATATAGCCTGTTAGGAGGTGCATTCTACAATCATATGCACGCACAGCTCTTAGTATATAAATTGACCAATTAAAAAGCACATTTCACATATGGGCAAAAGACATTCATGAACAAAGCCACCATATGGAAATTTCCTCTCGGAGCCCATTGCTCAAGTGGAGACAAAAAAGGAATTACCAGCCCGGAGCGAGCTCGTGTCTTCCTCTTCGGTTCGGCGAACCTTTTGCAAGGACACTTGGGAAATCTGGTGCTGCAACCCTGCCCTCTCCTCCTCGGCTCGTCGCAGCTGCAAGCGCAGCTCATCAATCTGAAGCCAGGCAAGGCACAACCGCCGACGCAAGATAATAAAACTTCCACATTCTTACGGCACTGTTTTTAAAGATAACATTTATCTTGTTTTTCAAGTACAAAACGGTTTCTTTACAAGAGTATTAGTTCAGGTAAACATGTTGGGGCTCTTCATTTATTACTCTGAATATAAAGCCAAACTGAATTCTATTGCATCATCAAACAAACCTGTTGGAAGAGGGCATCTCGGCCACCCTCCGACTGATCCAACTTGCGACGCAACCGCTCAAGGTCTTGCTCAAGCTTTAGAGAGATACATTGCAAATGTTAAAAACACTACGTCGACAATATAACATTCCTCATAAGATTGATTTAGGATTCAAAGAGCCATATGCTTACTTGAAGTTTTTCAGACTCAGTCTTGAGCATCTTGGTCTTCAATAGCGACTCGGCTTCAGATTTGGCTTCTTTTTTTAAGAGTACCTGCCAGCCAGCACAGCACAAGATATTTTACATTTTCATTACAGTAATGTACATATGCACAAAAACTTGGGAACGTGCATTACTGTGTTAACATATTTATTCCTAATACAAATGCATTAACTTGTCCAGCGCAGCAGCACAGGATTATTTCAAAATACAGTCTGAAATGGGTTTACAATAAACGACTTAAGGTAAATCCATGCCTCCTGTAGACTTGATGACAATTGCCCAATTTGGTCCTGCTTGCGCTCCATCATCTCCCTCTCTATTCGCATCTCCCGTTCCATCTCCTGGAGCCGGCGTTCCACACGATCGGAGCTCTGCAAATTCCCACGAGGTAACAAAGTGAGCATTTCACCAAACAAATACCACACTATCTACCAATTAACCCAAGTACAAGTTTACATACGGGGCATGCCAAAAATATAACTAAACCGTTAAATGATCTAAAAAAGTGTCAAGTGTTACATTTTCATGTTGAATTATCAGAAACTCAAATGTGTAGTATACTTACACAGCTCCCTGTTGCAGCATGAAAGCAAAATGACAGTATTCAGTAAATTTAGTTTGTCTATATTTAACCACCGTGTGCACAATTACACACAAATGTGCATTTACACATATTAAGTTACTAAAGACTTGAATTAAAGTATCTACATTGTTTAAGTGGATACATGATTGACAGAACATACACCATCTCTGCTCCTTGAATCATGAAGGCTCTCCGAAAGGTCCTGCATAGCTCGCCTGGTATCAACCTCTACCCTGAAAAAGGGGGTTCACGCACAGGAAAATAAAATCAGTGTGAAATGTGACCCAAAAATTCACCTTCAGTGTTGTGTTCCCATCTTGTGCAAGTGGTCTGAAAATACATTGCACATTGGTTTTATAACGCCATAATAAATAGCTAAATAAATAGCTCTCTGGGGTCCTTTCGAGTTGTGTTAGACGTGCGAGTTATTGCGCACGTCTGACATTTCGCTCCTCGAGCTGGGAGCTTCGTCAGGTATCAAATAAAATTCAGTTTATTTCAGTTCCCCAGTTTCTAAAGAACCTTCCAGCACACGGAGTAAAGTCTGTTATCGTGCCGTGTAACACACGGTACAACCCAAAAACACATCAGAGAGCTATATAGCACAACCGCGAAAAGCTACGCAGTAGTACCATAATAAATTACCTTGCAAAAATTTAATCAGAAATAGTTATCATTTGTCAAAAAATCTGTACCTGTTTCGGCGATCTATTTCCCTGTCCAAATCATCACCAATCCGCATTTGGTCGCTCGTGAGATCTCGTAAAGACTGGTGTACTCTGTGCAACTAAATGAGAAATAACAAAATGAGACGAAAGATGAGTTTACATATTTCAAACAAGTTTATGTTCTTAATATATTCTACTTTTTTGTTATAATTATTTTCATAATAAACCATCAATTACTAAAGTATGGAATTGATAATCAAATCCAGGTCAACTTAAGTAGAGGTTGAACGTTCAAACTGCACAGTGGATTCAAATGTGATTGGTCAGCGTCAGCCATAATAAAACAACAAGAGGCAGGGCTTATCAGTTACCGCATAGTACTTTAAAACAAAGACGCGCGTGCAGGGCAGGATTTTTACCATTAAACATTTCAATGTATGGCACCAATCATTTTTTTTTCGTTTTTCTGCGTGCAATTATGATATCAATAGAAACGAAATTAAATGCCCTAAACATGCTCTCCGATGTGTTTGAGTTGTACTGCATGTTGTTCGGCAAGAAGCTCCGAGCACTTGGGAGTGAAACGTCGGATATCGTGCCAGCAACATGTGGTACAACCCAAAAACACATCAAAACACATCAAACACATACACCACAACTGCAGACACACACAGTAGAAACCCAAAAAAGGATGTATTAGCCTCAATGAGTGGAAGCCAAAGCACACACCTGGCTTCGAGGGATGGCCTCATCTGCAAACCGCACGACAGATCTTGATCTCCTGTGCCGTGTGGGACTACCATAATTCCTGAGTGGCGAGGTGGGCCGATACTGCCGGCCTTCTGAAGAACATTATAAATATTTACATAAACAGTGAGGCTTTTTTTTATCGATGCATAATACCTGCTCTGAAATAGGATTTAGTACACAAAAAAGCATGGATGCATGCTTGAACTTACATTGATAAACAGAAAGCAGAACATAAATATTAGAGGATATACACATGTAAACGACAACATTGAAACTTTCAAGAACTTTCAAGAAAAGAAAAGTAAGTGGGCTTCGGCAAAACATGTCACTCGAAGAGATGGCAGATGGTCAAGAATAATGAGAGTGGCAGTCAAGGAACGGAAAACATCCAGAACAAGAGGAGATGAACCAATGAAATCAGCTCGTGTACATGTGCTTGTTGGATTATTACATCGCAAGATCATGAGAGATGGCAGCAGCTTGTAGAGGTCTTCATCCAGCATTGGACTGACCAAGGCTGATGACGAAGTGAGTATAGGTCAATGAAATAGATGTATTTCAACGCAATAATGAATATTGCAGGTCTTTTACCCCTGCTGTTGGTGTCATCCAGATCACTCGCATGAAGAGAATGCAGTGTAGATGCCCCCCGTACTCCTGCACTCCGACTCAGTCTCTGGCTTCTCAGATCCTCCAATGACTCTTCTAGATTGTCACGCAACTAAATGTTGGAACACAACATCATACGTGTGGGTGTGGATGCAAGTATTCACAATAAAATGTTCATTAATAAAAGATATGACAAGACATACCTTTTTAATAAACTGTTTGAGCAAAGAGTTGGGAGCGAATGTAAACTCACTCTAGACATGGCTTCTGTTTGGTCGCCTGTGTAGTCCCTGTATTGGCCCAGCAGGCTGTCCACACTTCGAAGATTACGATTTGTATCCTAAAAAGCAGAAATTTGCTGAAGTTATTTACTAAAATATTAAATCCTGTCATAATCAAAACACCGAATAAAATCTTCATACAATGTTTATGTTTTTGTTTTAAAAGCTAATTAGTGTAATGATAAAAAGTAAATCCATAACTGATCTATACAAAGAAGCATAACTCAAGCAAGAACAGTATTTTAATATATGAAGCTTGCCTGTGATTTTATTTTTAAAAAATTTCTCTTTACACGATAGGTCAAAAGTGTCTCTCTCCAATTCCCCAACAACTTTCAAATGAGCTTTAACTCATCAACCTCAAGTCATTAATTGTTAATGGAGTATATTATATGCAAAGTTTACGGTGGCCTAATATAGAACTGATGGTAGAACACAGGCATGTAAGAATTCACCCACCACTTGATTTTTGTTATATATATATATAAATGTTTACATATTTTTCCCAATTGTACCATCAGCATCATCATTAGAGGAAAAAGGCTTGCGGAACCCTCACAGAGCAGTGGAATAACGCCTTATTAAGAAAAGTTCTGCACGGAAGGAAAAAACATTTCAAATGACACTAGGGGGCAGCACTTTCCTACTTGCTATTTTCAATTCAGCAGCAATTTAGCCTTGGACATGGCCTGGATTTGAACCAGAGGTCGCAACCGGGTACCCGATACCCGGCTACCTGTACCCGGCCGGGTATCGGGTAGGGTACGGGTAACCCGTACCCGGCCGGGTACCCGTTTGCGACCCTGGTGCGGCCGGGTACGGGTAAGGAATCAAAACCAGTTTGCGACCTCTGATTTGAACCCAACTTTATCAGCTCAGCGGTCTGACCTGAGCCACCTCCATTCAAAGATCAATTTGTTATCTTGTATGTTCGATCTCATTTTCCCTTAACATTTGTATAATTTGCATAAATTTAAAATTTCGGGTTTAACATGCACAATTCGATGCATGTTGCGAGTGGAAATTAATCGATGGATCGTTCGCCGTTTAGAAAACCTGCAAGGTGCTGGCGAGGGTGTTGATCTTGCGGGCGATGCCATCTCCGGCACCCGGGTGGCGCCTCGTGTGCCGGCGGCCATCTCGAGGAGGTGGGGCGCCTTGTTGCAGGTCGCTGCTCTCCGACTCTCCCGATGAGTCATCCATTTACGCTCTCCATGTGCCGCTCACTCCTTCATGCAGCCCTGCCTACTACTTAAAGTCACACATGTACGCGAGTCAGAAAATGTTAAGAGTCATTTCTATATCGTCAACCATGATCATCATCAGCCATGAGCAAACCATGGCTGATAATAAAAGCCGTTTCAATCTCTAACGATCCTGCAATAGAATATATTTTTTGTTACACATTTAACCAAGCTGGTCAGTGCTAGTTGGTGAAGTGAACACATTTTGTCTCGCCTCTAACTGAATACTTGATTGGTATGGGTGTCCCTATCCAATATAGCTCCTCAGATCTCCAAGGCTCTCAGAATTATTCACAAACATCAAGGCAGTGCCCCATTTAGGTTGTCTTTCTACAACCCTTTGCCAATTTAACACGGAATCTCGTCGCAGTGTCAGGATTGTTTGACCATACTTCACCACTTTGGCTATTACAGATCGAAAGTTAGGGGCTCAGCACCGGTTCAGATATCACTCGCCAACAATGTTATCCATGACCTGGAATCATACCCTGGTGACTTTTTTACTTTTTAAAACTTATGAATTGGGAAAAATCAGATACTTCATTGTGACCTAGCCAATCAAAGTGCAGTGACTGTATTACCTTTAGTTTTAGATGTATTAATGTTTTGTATCGCAATACAATAATTTCTGAGAATATGGTAGATGAAACGTGTCAAGATAATGTCTATCCGATTACTCTACCAACTTGCATAATGCGCTCAGGCTAATGAAAATTGGTCTCAAGAGATATAATCGTATTTCAACTGCAATGCACAGTGAAGCTAACTTTCCGAATTCCCACGCAGTGTCAAGCGCATTACAAACTTTCACGCCGCTAATCGACACATCAACCTCTCAGCAACAAGACGGCGCTATAGCAGGAAGCAAACGACGTAACACCGCCCCAACGGCTTAACACTCCACACCAAGACTAATTGAGTGGGCACTTTTAATGCATTCCAAGAATAATTCTAAGTACACTGCCCTGCCAAATTGCAATATATAAAACGTAATATTCCTTTGTGTATTTCGCACCCATGTGCTTGTGTTTTTCCTAGATCTCTCGTGGAATCTCTCTTCTCAATGCGCTGATACATGACTTATATTGTATAGGGTGATCCATATGCCTTGTAACCCCCATTTAAATTCTCTAAGACTTAATACAACATTTGTTTTATGTTTATTTAAGCCATAAATGAATGTTCAAACGAAAAAAGTGGAAGGGGTCAATTAATTGGGGGGGGGGGGGGGGGTCGCAATGCATCTGTATCACCCTGTACAAGTACTGTATAAACCATCCGCTCACCAATCGCCAAATTCATTGGGACTAAAGCGGAACCCAGTGGGCACTCGTGTCGACACTAGCCCACAACAGTTCCTCTTTGAGCTCAACGTGACAATACAGTACACAGTGGATGTATCGTACAAAGTAACACAACTACATTCCGACCATTCTCAATCCCCCAAATGCATGAAGTTTCCCCACGCCATGTAGATCGTGGGGGGGCGGAGGGTCAATGTTTACCTTGCTTCACCACGTTGGTCAGTGTGAAGAGTGGATGGGATGGGGGAGGGTTATGACCGGTGTCTCATATCACCTACCACTCATGCATCTGTTATTAGAGCTAAAAACTCGTAAGGCATATATGTATGCACTATAAGTATCATATGTGCATTTCAGCGTGTGGATATGTACACAGTGTACGATATGAAGGTGTTGTAAAGACGTCGACATGAATTGTAATCGAGACGACTAACATGAGTTGTTATACTCTTAGGTTTTTTCGGTAAAGTCACGTAGTTAAAAATAAATATTAATAAAAAATGAAAAAGAAAAAAATATATATTATAATAAAAAAACATTTATATTATTTCTATTATTATCATTATTTATTCTTATTATTTATTTTTAACTACGTGACTTTACCGAAAAAACCTTAGAGTATGAATCCTTGCAGTCACGAAAACTTCAAATCTAGAATGAGTTATCTTAACCCCACCCCAACCACCACCTTCACCGACGCCCAAGTAACCAGAGGGAGACCCTTTAAACGGTAGATTGACTAAAGGGTCATAAAGTAATTACGTGTAATAATTTACAAACTTTCGATTTAAAGCTGTCGTGACTGCAGGGATTCATATTATTGGTTCTTTCGGTAAAGTCACGTAGAAGGGAAATAATAAAATAATAAAAAATAAAACATTTAATTAATAAAAAATACAATAAAATTCTCACGACGTTTCTATTGCAACACAAGCAATAATCATCATAACATGATGATTGTTTGTGTTACCGAAATAACCAATAATATTAATTTACAAACTCTGTGTGTCCGGTGTTACCCAGTCTGACCACACAACAACAGCTCGCTCTTACACAAACATTTAAAGTTTATATATAATCAGCGTGAACACTAACAACGCCGTCATTTTATAACAACAATAACGTTTGCTAAAAAATTTACGGGGAATTAATGAGTTGGCAACTCGTCTCCACGCCTCGGATTATAAACAATTGATAATTCAATCGAATTCATGGACACTTTAACGAGCCGTTTAACACACTAACTTACCATTAAGTTAGCTGAAGCATAAGATGATTTATACTCTTAGTTTTTTTTCGGTAAAGTCATGTAATTATTTTTTTTTACCTACGTGACTTTACCGAAAAAAACCTAAGAGTATGAATCATTGCAGTCACGAAAGCTTCAAATCTAGAAAGATTATTAATGTGGAGTCAAAATCGATTCACATAAATCATCTCCACATTAATCATCTTATTAATCATCTTATGCTTCAACTAACTTACCAGTAAGTTAGCTGAAGCATAAGTTAGCAAAAGCATAAGATGATTAATGTGGAACCAAAATCAATTCACGTAAATCATAAGTTAGCTGAAGCATAATATGATTAATAAGATGATTAATGTGGATCCAAAATCAATTCACGTAAATCATAAGTTAGCTGAAGCATAATACGATTAATAAGATGATTAATGTGGATCCAAAATCAATTCACGTAAATCATAAGTTAGCTGAAGCATAATATGATTAATAAGATGATTAATGTGGATCCAAAATCAATTCACGTAAATCATAAGTTAGCTGAAGCATAAAACGATTAATAAGATGATTAATGTGGAGCCAAAATCGATTCGACAACTTCGCCTTCACAGCACTCGCCGACACTTTAATATCGACGCCTTGCGTTGCCGGCGAACGAATGAATGAATGAACGAATGACCAAATAAATACACGCGAACGAATTACCCAGAGAGTTTGACGGCTCCACCGCAGCGAACGAACTAAAGTTGACAAGTTCGTTCCGAATCACGAATTGTGAGTGGCGACGACGCGAGACGGATCAACACTCACCCCTCTGCACGGCACCCCGTCACTGCAAACCGCGACGGCTCAACAAGCGAGAGCTTCACGAGGATTACAAACAAAATATAAACCCCAACGACGACTGAATGATGAAGCGTGCGGCGCCTCCCGCCCGGCGAGCGAGCGAGCGAGGCAGGCGGCTGGGGAGCTGCACGCGGGCTGACGGCGTCTACGAGGCGGCTTGAAATGGCCGCCGTTGGCAGGCGAAGGACCCCGCGACCCCCACCCCCCAAACCCCCCCAGCCCCCACCCCCAACCCCGGGGGTGGCCTCGGCGCTGCTGCCGCTGCTGATGCGTTTCGCGGGCTATGCGCCCGCGAAACCCCCCCCACCCACACACCCCCGAAACACCCCCCACCCACACACCTCACCCCCGAAACACCCCCCACCCACACACCCCCGAAACCCCCCCCCACCCACACACCCCCGAACCCCATCCCCACCCACACACCCCCGAACCCCCCCCCCTACCCACACACCCCCGAAACCCCCCCCCCACCCACACACCCCCGAAACCCCCCCGAAACACCCCCCCACCCTCCGAACCACCCCCACCCTCCGAACCACCCCCACCCTCCGAACCACCCCCACCCACACCCCCCACAAACCCCCCCCAAACCCCCCCTCCCGAACCCCCCCCCACCCACACACTCCCCCCCCAAACCCCCCCTCCCGAACCCCCCCCCACCCACACACCCCCCCCGAAACCCAACCACCCACACCCCCCCCCCCACACACCCCCCCCCAAACCCCCCACCCACACACCCCCCCAAACCCCCCCGAACCACCCCCCACCCCCCCCCCCCGAACCACCCCCCACCCAGAAACCCCCCCACCCTCATACCCCCTCCCCACGAAAACCCCCCCCCCGAAACCCCCCACCCCCCGAACTCCCCCCGAACCCCCCCCACCCAGCGTGGTGGAACCCAGCCCCAGCCCAGCCCCAGCCCAGCCCTCGCCCACAACGAAACTCGCAAAGCAAATAGCAACACGCGCGCTCGCGCAAATAATACAAACCCCATATTCACTCGGTGTTCATCCATAAGAGGGGTTTTATTTGGGGGGGGGGGGTTAGATCGCGTAAGTAGATAAATGTGTCGGTGTTTAGATAGCCAATGCTATGATTCACATTTGTGTTGTGTGTGGGTTTTTTATGTGTGTTCAGCCACGTGATTGTTTTATACCAAAATACAGTATTTGTAATTTGGTCATTATTTTGGTTGGTGTCATGTACTTAGGCCCCCCATACATTGTCAACGTTGAGCTGTGCATGTGAATGGTTGAACCCGTTGGCATTTCTTAACCCCCCTTAAGTGCCTACGATATTGCAGACCAATTCAGACCGTATTGGTCATCCCGTGCCCTTCTAAATCTCAACGTTCATCCCACAAAGTTCCATCACAAGTGAGAAACACAAATGGACAAAAAATTTGTCCGCATTGAAACGGCTGTAAGCCGTATGGACCTGAAAACTAAATTTCGCTGTACAAGAAAACGGCTAAACCGTATGGGTTGACAGGTATGGCTTGGCCCAATGTTGGGCCCTCCGTTCCACGTTTAACTGGGAGCACAATAATTGTAACAAACAAAAAACTCAATGTATCTGTGTAGGTATGTTGAGCTTATTTCGCACCTTACCTAGCCAACCGTGCTAATCGGCGACGTTTCAGGCAATGGTCCTTCATATCACCTTGTCGATGAGAACTCGATTTCCGAATTCGCTACCTGACGAAGCTCAAAGCAGGTTGAGCGGAATGTATGTTATTGATGTTAAATCCAGCCACGAAAAGTCTTATGCCAAAGGTGAGCTACCGAGCAGAATTCGATCAATACTTTGTCAAGTATAAATAATATTGTAAATATTCGGCAAATACGGCCTTAAAAACAGACTTTTTAAGGCGACTGTTATTGCCGAAGTGACTTTTTGGTTATATGTGCACCACTTCCAACTCCGTATCACCACATAATGTGCTATAATTGGTATTGTATAATACCAGCTAAGCTTTTGCGAATCAATGTCGTCATTCAACTCAAGGATCTGTTTTTTTATTTTTAAATTGTAGGTAAATGTCGTGGCCACTAGTGTTTGCAGGGGTCACATTTTAAATCCAAAGTTCAGGCGTACCAACGTACAATCCGCAGAACACGATACAATTAGAGACATTATCGTAGGATTCTAATCCACACCTCACTCTCTTATTTCCAAACACAATCACCATCTGGAGATTCAAATGACATTCACTGGTGGCCGCTACAATGTTTTGTCCAAGAGAATGACCGAAGCAGCGTCAGTAAATGCATCCTGGTCATCCGTTTATCCACGGACAATTTATCCAGTGATCTCCGGGAAAGACGTAAATCTTCAATTATCCTCATCAGAAAAAATTGTGAATGCCGCACACCAACTCTGCATATAACCCAGGCACATTAATTCATTAGGCCGTCATGTTTTTCCAAAACTCTCGTCGGTTAAGTACACTAATTCACCAGCAGTGGAGCGCTGGTGCTACTAGTTACTAACAGCACTTGCCCCTACAGCCCTGCTAGAGGCTACCTGGGGTAACTTTGTCTGTGTGGTGTGTGTAGTACATAGACACTGCTGCTGCTACTCGCTACTAGACACCAAAGGTCAACAAAATAAGCTGACAAAACAACGCTGGTTACTGGAACTGCGTGCATAATTGCACATTTAAGTTCGTTTTTATACAATTTATAAACAAGCAACGTAGTTTATATACCACCTAAATTGTAGCACATTCCTAATTTAGTTCGTGTCAAAAATAAACCAAAATACAAGACGTGGTTTTTTTCTTAGGAGAAAACTGGTATTTACTGCTCAGTGGAGCAGTGCAGTCTGACATTTTAAAGGTTAAATCACAACTTAAGTCCATTCCTCAACCCTAGTTTAGCTCAAAACGGAAAGGCGACTGCAAACATTCCAAAGACCCCCCCCCCACCTCCCGAAATCTCAACTTCATTTAGGCTTTCCTGGATAAAGAACCACTCGCAAAATAACCGCTTACCTCCCCCATGCACAGCACCACTCCATACCTGTCCACGCATTCATCGCTTTCGTCACCTGGGAGACGCGTCCCCGCTTATGGATTTGGACAAGATGCCACTTGCAAACCTCGTGTTGACTGAAGAGATGCAGCTCTGAAGAGCCTCGTAAGAATTTACATCATGCATTTGGTAACTGCCCGTTGTAAATAATCATTAAAATATGAACGTGTTTGGTATTTAAACGTGTTTCGCAAGTCCTTATCGATCATGTATTATGGTGTACATTTTTTCCCCGAGTGACAAACACAATTTGGGCCGAATTTTAACGGAGCATAACTGAAAAAACATCATACGCCGAAACACACTTCGCACATTGTAAAATGTAACACTATTTACCATTACACATTGAATATATATTCTGGATAGCTAATTTTACATAAACCGTTTACCAACTGCACAAAATGGTTTCCGAACTTACCCAAGCGTTCTGCTCAATAACACAAAATACCCCAGTGACTTGAATTATAAAGCCAGATTGTTTTTGATAGCACACTGCTCCTTTTGCTTTCAGCTATCTCCTCATAATGACTGCACTCACTCCTTGGATCACATGCAAGATCATCTGACGTGCAGAGAAAACTCCCGAGTTACAATGTGTTGATGTAAAAGACACTTTTGAGTGACATTCCATTTTATGGGAAAATTCCACAATATACCGCACATCATTGTGAAAAGGGCATTTTACTGAACGGTCCTTTTAATTCTACCCATTCAATAACTGAAGTTTTGGACTTGTTTCCACCAGACGTGCATTAAATTCAAGGGATAAGTGCAATTATTGAAACAATTCAGGGGGTGTGACCACGTTTCCGCCATACTCATGAGTGTAAGTTGGCAAGGGTGACAGGCCAGTTCAGTTTTCACTTGAAAACTGATGTTAGCCTTGGTTGGGAGTCAAACCTCAGGCTGAAATGTTCACATTGGAGGCCCCGCTTACTGCATCACCATTCACGCCAACATTAATTTACGGGAGACGAAGTACAAAAACATAGCAGAAATGAATATCAAAACAGACAATGATGTCGATGAATATAGGAATAATTGTAAATGTTTATTCATAAAGAATTTCATAAATTGTAAAGAAATTTAGCCTGCCAACCCCTTTGTCCATCAATGCAAATTTTATATAAACCACATACAGCTTTCACGTTTCACACTTCACCCAACAAAATGCAACATAAAATGAAGGTACATAAAGCTGCAGTGCACATATTGCATTTCAACATTTAAAACAGCGCATTGCAAATGCCACAATTAACAATCCAACATTAAATTATCACACTAGGAAACACCAAAACATGCAAACTTGTACTGTAATAAGGAGTTCATCTGCATATTTATGTCAGATCATTACAGCGTATACCTGTAACAACTAATAAAACAGCGGTCAATGAAAAAGTACACCATTTAATTAACCATTATCTACAATGCTTTTGGAATCAGATGTCAACTTATTTCTTCACTACAAAGTGAGAGTTTTGAAAGAGTTCGTCTTCAACACAATAGGTTAATAAGCACAACATTTTCATGACGCCTGCTTGATTTATTGCCGTTGTAGAAAAAGACAGGATATATCAAGTTTCTGATCAAGTACATACCACATAAAACAGTAAATTCTCAAGTGTGTGCAAGTTGTGATGCCATAATGTCAATCAGGATTTTCACACTAATCACACAACACCCATGAGTCATGATATACTGTACACAAACCCTGTCTTGGTCAACAGTGCAGGCAAGCAATGAAAATGCAAATACTGAACTACAACCAAACAGACGAATGTAACACCATCTGTAAAATGTGAACAACTGCAACTGTTAATATATTTTTTTGACATGTGCCACGTAAGATCTGGCTGCTTATTTAAGCAGTGCTAAGGCACTTGGGAATATATTGCTTATAAACAGCACAATTGCACTTGTAGGTACAGAAAAAAGGCAATATCATAATATGATTTCTGACTCGATTTTAAAATACTTTCATGCACACAAGTAAAATACTAACACAGTATTTTAACTGTTTTTAAAACAAAGTTTAACTTATATAAATTCAACATTAAACATTCAAATAATGATATTCTATTACGTAAAATATCTCATTTATATAAAACATTTAACAGCTTAAATGAACAAGTTATACTATTTACATGATTAAATGAAAACTTCCCAAAGGGGTTCATGATGAGCAATATTAGCATCCTCACCATGCAAGATCACTCATTTGCTATAGTTACATATTTTATGGATAACAGTACTACAGAATTAAAGCCTGTGCTTATCTTTGTGATTAAAATTTACGCACATGCTAAAATAGCTAATATATTTATAAATGATTTTCACTAAGCTCTTTCAAAAAAGTTAACAATTACAAAAAACCTATTGACGACCACAATCCCATCAATTTCAGGAGGAAAAAAAAATCAAACCTTTTCAGTTTGCGGGGAAAAAACACCAAATTAACAACTAATGTCAACAGCCTATAGTATACATTGGTAATTAAGATATTACAAAATCATTTAGTGTGCCACATTAATGTATCCATCTTCCGTTAATCCTACAGACATCCAAGCTCATTTCACAGCTGCATGACTAAAATGGTACCATCTTCTCTGCAAAACTGCACATGCAGTCAGTTTCAAGCAGTTTAACAACAAGGTAATGCTGAATGGAATCCTGGGATTGGACTACCAAGTTGGCTCATCGAACATGGAATTGGCATTGAGGCAATTTATATAAGCCTTGCGAGAATCAAATACGTGTACGAATTCAATTACCATTCTGCATCACCGGTGGCTCTGGAAAACACAAAATCCCTACCATTGAGGTTCATGATGCCATCTTTCAGGTGGAACTTCCATTTGTTTTTGCTCCGGTGGATCTGTCCCAATAAAAAAAAAGAGATAATTTAGGACATTATTTTACATCCATTGAAGACTAATTTAGCTTCCCCTAATGCAATACTGCAAAAGTAACACGTCTTAAAATAAATGACTTGTTAAAATATACAACTGCTCAATCTGCCAATGATCAGTGCATTTCATGTACAACTTACTTTGTCATACTGACACACGACCACATTGTCAGTTTCAAAAAGCTCCGTGCCCTCCTCATCACTGACATCATCCTCAGAATTCAAAGGTTCCTGAAAAATAACGAGTGTTACTTCTTAGCATGTTACCATGGCATGGGACATGGAGCAAAATCAATTGTACATTGAAATAAATTCATCAAACCTCCTCCACATGCTCCGCCTCCTCGCCCAAGTCATCATCCTTGTCTTTATCTTCTTCCTCTTCGTCATATTCATCCTCTGATGAAGTATCTCCAGCACCATCAACTTGGATGATTACAGGTGGCTGCGCACTTGAAGATGCACTGCTCACCTGTCCAATTGCAACACCTGCCTAAATGATTCGTATAACATAAAAAAATGGGTTAACTCTGCCATCACTAAACTATGCATCTATAGGAGGTACACCCCAGCAGGGGAGTTTCAAGAGACAAGTTAATCGTAAATTATGTAATCAACCCTCAAAACAAAAGCCGATGCAAAACTGTAAAAAAAATGGCACGCAATGGATACATTTTACAGTAACACCCTGCCAATAAGAATGCAATTTGAAGAATGATTTCATGCTCATATTTGTTACAGTATTACTATTGTATGCCAAGCCATACCTGCTGAGCAGGCTGAACACGCCCCGTGATGACAGACTGATGCTGCGACACAGGCGGCTGCTGCTGCTGCTGCTGCAACAACACAGAGCCGGGTGGCAAGTTCTGATGTGTTGAGGTCAGCTGAGTAATGACCTGATAAATAAAAAAAAACATTAATATTACGACCTAAAAATACGCACATCACTGCAAATCACTTGGTGTGTAACGATTCATCTTTTAACGGGTCGAGCGGTCACTCAAACCCATTACGTACAAATCGAAAAACCATTTAGCATTAACAATTCGATGTATGTTACCCCCGAGTTGAAGAAACCATACTTGATTAATCTATGCCCTCGTTCAATCCCGACAAACAATACATTGTATATATATTAAAACCTATACAGTATACCACTCTCTGCCTATGACCATGAGGATGTGATGCTTTTAAAACATTTAATGTAAGTGCCCTTGGTCAACCCACTGCTGATTTAGGGCCTACCCACACCATGGGTTGTGGGAGTTGTTTAACCAAACGTCACCACGCTGGTCAGTGAAGGCGAGGAGCCGGGATACAAGGTAAACAATCAATATAATTTTAATGATAAAAGGTGTCCAATACACTTGGGTTTATGGATCAATTTTTATCAAACTATTTCAGTCAAAAAAATTATTCGTACTTGCTGAGGCATCTGCTGTTGGATCACTCCAGGGTGGCACGTGGTATTTTGCATTTGCCCCGGCAGCATGTGGGGGTTGACATGTTGCAGCTGCAGCAACTGCGTCAGCCCTGCTTGCTGCTGCTGTTGTTGCTGTTGTTGCTGCTGCTGTTGTTGTTGAGCATGCTGCTGCTGAGACTGCTGCTGTATGACAGGTGTCTGACCTTGTGTCTGGGCCTGAGAAACCTGCTGCAGCTGCAAGACCTATAAAAACATTTTAAAAAGTCAATATTTTAAAAAATCAGATTGCATGAAAGTTAGGCAAAGTACTGTCTTGCCATTATCGAATTGAAAATAAGGCACATTGTTTAAAATAAGCTGCCATGTGGTGTAAACAAATCGTATTTTCCCATATATTGCTTTAATATCACAACTGAAATACATTTCAAACTTCATTTGAAGCTTTCGTGACTTCAGGAATTACTCTTTGGTTATTTCGGTAAAGTCACGTAGAAATATTTATTTAATTTATTTCCTTTCTACGTGATTTTTCTGAGAGAACCAGAGTGAAATACATTTATGCAATTCTGAATAAGTCTGTTTAATAAAAATGACATTAGTTATCCTTTGTGACATTTATTTAAGAATCTAAATCTTGATTTATCCTGGAAAAATCCAATGGAGCTATGAAGCTCTTTTTCATAGATGTCCAGCAGGGACAGTTCATAAAGTTATGACAACAAACCATATAAACAATGACAAGAGTTACTATTAAAATGCTTTACTATTAAAATTTCCCTCCCTCTATTACTGCTAATCCTACTTCCTCCCTTGATGACTGCTAGTCCTACCTCCCCACCACCAATCCCATATCTGCATTTTCCATAAATATGCTAAATTCATCTGTTGATATGTAAATTTCTTTGTCAAGGCGCTTTCCTCCTCCAACCCAGCTTAAATATACGCTGCCAAGCTTGGTCGTGTTCATTCGGATGCTGTCTTTCCGACAGCCCTGTTCTTCACCTGATGACGGCTGCTTGCGTTGTGGCCGAAACGTCATGAGAATTTTATTTTATTATGTTGTATTTTTATTATTTTATTATTTCCCTTCTACGTGACTTTACCGAAAGAACCAAGAAGAATGACAAGAGTGCCAAGTATAGGAAACGTAAGAAAATCATGAAACCTGTGTGTGTGTGTAGCCCAAGCATTTGTACATTTACACACACCGAAGGCAGCTGTTGCAGGATCTGGAGCTGGCCAGGCTGTCCTGGCTGTCCCTGCTGCATCTGCTGGATGGTTGGAACTTGTCTCACCTGCTGTATGGTGGGTACGTGCTGAACCTGGATCTGTGCACATAGTAAACCCACACAATTAGACTTGCAAACATAAGGTTGTGGTGCTTGGGCAATAAGCGCAATCACAATAAACCACTCTTAGGTTTGATTTTCACATTTGTGTCACATTCATTTATTAAACAGAGGTATTCAATTTGATGCAATTTCCTGGTGCGAGAGTTCAAATAACATTCAAGCTTCTTATATTTCCTCCCCTCTAGTCACGTTCACCCAGTAGTATAAATGGAATAGTCGATATGCAGACGTGTGGTGGGATTAATGTGGGTACTTCAAAACACGTCTGGTCAGTGTGGAATAGACCGAAATACCCTCTTTAAAAAAAGGGGGCGCGCTCTCGAGCTCCTTCTACTGGCAGCCCATCCCCCAGCAGTGGCGTTAACAAGTCATTCCAAGGACTGCACCTTTATCTTTTCAGTTTCATTTATTAGGTATAGCCCTGTGAGCCATGCGGCTCTTGATTCCGGTGCAACCGTAACAAACAAAAACATTAACAAAGAACATCTTTAAGTGGCTACGCGCAACAGAGAAATCCAGAAAAAACAGCAAAGTTTTCCAGAAAAAAAACACCGTATATCAACGCTGTGTGCAAAAATCCCAGTGGGATGCAAGTAAAACAATAACTATAAGACAATTTAGATTTAAGTTATTAGGCCAACTCTGTACTTCAAAGCAAACATGGCTAAACCATACGTTTTCGAAATCACCAAAATAAAGCTATAAAAACAATGTAACAGTGATCATAGGAACTGCGATTCAAATTTAACAATAAACGATCTCCCTAACATGTACGACCAAATTGTGCAGCCATAACTGGCAGCATGAATCACTCCACAACAGGAGTATCAAAAATTTTCAATGCACCTTTAAAGATCAGCGCACACTATAATCAAAACTCAAGATCATACTTTGCAGCGGTCATCCAGAGCGATGCATTTGATTTCAGGCCAATCTGCATAGCAGTGGCAGCTAGGGGTGTACAGCTCCTCAAGAGCAGTTTTGATTGCAGATCTCACAGGTAGTGATTAAGTTGCAGTTTATTGGCGATAGCATTCGAGACCCTGGGGGCATGAACAGCAAAGGCCCTTCCTCCAGTATTTGTACGGCAATAAGGAATGCGAAGCTGGTAAATGAACGAAGACCTTGGGTCACATTTGTTCTTCAGCATCTTACACATGCTGTGCTTACCTGCTGCATTTGCGGGACCTGCTGGAACTGCTGCATCTGTTGAATATGCTGCAGAAACTGCGGTGAAACAATCTGCTGGCCTCCCTGGCTCACCACCACCGGCATTCGACCAATCATGCCTAAACATCGCAATGGAAAAAAGGTACAACAGGACATGCACATTAGCAAATATGGTCTCATCGTTGAGGTTTATATTTTTTAAAAATTTACACCATGAGATAGGGCATTTTTCCACAATCTGAAAAGCGTGTTATTTACTTTGAAGAGCAACTTTAACCATAAGAGTATTTTTTAAAGCTAATGCTAGTAGTGTATTACCTTGGGAAAGAGCAGTGACTTGAAACGGCGAGATCACGCCAGTCGGTAGAGTCATTGTCGCAACAGGCGTACTCTAAGGGAAATACATTTTTGGTGCAAAAATAAAACGTTAACACCGAAATCGTACCATCATATCAGCACGTACGGAAAAAGCATTTTCATTTTTTTCAACTATCTCACTGCAAATCTTCCATTGTGACTGCTGAAAGACTTTTCAGCACTTACCACTGTAGTTGTAGTCATTTGAACATTTCTCTGATCTGGCAACACACCAGCTACAAAAGACAAAAGCATGTACACATGTCAACAGCATATTCCATGAATATTTACTGCAAAGTGCTCTTGTATAAAAATAACAACCAAAAAATACCGTCTGAAAAATACAATGACATCGGTAGTTGACCTGCAGTTGTTTGTGGCCTAACTACAGCCACTGTAGGCGAGGGTTTCTTGTTCTGCTGATGTGGCTGCTGTGCACGGGCGATCATCAAGTTCTCCTGATGCTGCAGGCTCTCCAGAGCCTTTGACTGCATTAACTTGCTTTCCCAGAGCTGTGATGAAAGACAAAAGGTTTCCTTTACCATTAACATGCAATGTTCATGAAAATATGTATTTCGACAAGTACAGGCCTTCCTCCCCTGAATCTCATCCCAAAATGCAGTGTGATCTTATGAGTTACCAATTGTACATCTTCCAAGTCGCATCGTTTATACTTTTTTTTTAAGTCCAAGAGGTTAAAGTGGCACAGCAGTTAACACAATGCACTTTAAATATGGTGAAATAAGTTCGATTTGCAGCCATAGCTAATAATCGTGGCGGGTTATATTTAAACTAGTTGTCGGGGAAATTGACCCTCCAACTCCACCAACTCACAGACCAGTGTGAAGTGTGGTCAAACAACGCCTGCGGTCGACATCACTTGGGGAAGCCTTCATCCAACAGTAGATTGACTAGAGTTGTAAATTACTTTATGATATTCATTACCATGAGAACTTAAAAACAAAAAAGTGTACTATTAGGAATTAGACATTTTTATTTATATACAAACGATTATGTTCATGATGTAATGAACTATGCAATGTTTATTACCATGTATGCACATTTCATGCAAAGCTTTATTTTAAACCCATGTCCAGAAATAATGAGTGGTACCAGATAATATACAATAAACAAGAAAATGTACACATGACTAAAGCCAAAGCGGATGGCACAAACAAGAACATTAGTACAAATGTGAATGGTAATACAAAGGAATGAAACATTACATGGAAGATAGAACAGACAATATAAATGAACAAGATAGCAGACAATAAAATCTAATATTTAATGGAATCCTGGCCCTGAATTCTGGCATTTTTTTAATCATGCAGTGAGGCGGGAGGAAATAATTACATGCCTATTATGTTCATACTATAGAGGTATATTGGAACACTTGTACTAAAACAAACCTGCTTAAGTTCTTGCAAAACATGTTCATCCACTCCCTCATCCAGGAAGATGTCTTTTAGATTTTGCACAACATCCTCAATCACAGCTGTGTAGAGCTTGGGCTGGAAAAAAACAACAAAGACAATTGAATAAATTTAATTCATTAACCACTGAAATTTAAATATAACTATGCAATTACATGGGCACGATATGTAATGTTACACCTGAATAGAGCACAATGACATCACAAAACATTAACAGCATGCATAAAACCGCAATTTTATATTATCAAATACATACGTTCAAAAGTATTTCTAGAACTTTAACCACCAAGTTTTTAAACATTAAAAAAATCGGCAAAGAACTACAAGTTAAAAATGTGAAGAGCAATTGCAGCAATGTAAAAAAGCCAAAGTTTTTTTGTGGAAAAACAAATGTGGGTACTGTTAGTTTTCAAAAACAGCAACCCAATCGGTCCTCCTTCAAATATGAATACACAATACTGGTCATGACAGTTTATAGAAATACCTCAACTCTTCAGAGAATGAATCGCATGGAAATCCTAATACAGTATTTAGAATTGTCGGTTCATTCAATCTCATTTCCTCAAAATGAGTCCAATCTAAATTCAGTTTAAAGTGACAAAGACCATCTAAACATCGGTCTACAATTTTTAGGGTCGGTATTTAAGGCAATGACAAAAGTCACTTTTTTTTGTGGGTAAAAATGTAACATTTGGCTTCTTATTTTTTAGCTCAATGCAAGGCATGTCAGCCAATTTTGAGCCAATGTGAGCAAGTCTGGCTCACATCAACTTCACATTTGTCAAAGCGCTCTCTTTTAAAAGTTTAAGTAACTCAAATTTATTCGGACTTACTTTTTTTACGCATTCAAATCTGTTCAAAAATTTCGTTAAATATATGCTTGAACATCTAACAAATGTGCAGTACCATCACTACACTGACCATAAATTCATTGGTAATGGTAAAGCAGACAGTGCTTGTGTGGTCAAGTCATTTTATCATGTGTAGTGCATACAATACACTCTATTGGGTTAATTGGTCCTCATTCACTCCAACGTGGGGTCACATTTATAAATGGACACAGGATTGAAATACATTTAAGTGTACGTGGAAAAAGTTCATGCGTAGCGCACTATATACATAATCAAGTGTCTCGTCAGGGATTATTAATGTCCTTTAATCAGGTCAGCAGAATACCTCAGTTACCAAGATTACAGCGGGATCAGCTCTGCCTGTAGCACGTCTTGTGCAAAATAATACCTGGGACACTGTAGTATCACCACTGCATTACAATTCTACTGTGTTTTCATTGACTTGCAGGGTCATGATCAATGTGGGATGAGAGCTGAAAACGCAGGCACACAATGGGAAACGTCTCATACCACGTTGAAAGAGGATTTTTTTGTTTCCTCCCAAACATCAATCTTAAACATGATGGTGGTATGAACTCCAAAGTCCCTGGCCCCGGGACCACTGGGCTCCAAAGCCACCGTCGTGTGGATATTTCCAAGTCTAGACGGCATCCTCACCCTTCTGACCCCCCCCCCCCCCCCCAAAAACCCAGAGTCTATCCCCACAGGCAAATTGAATTACATAAGTCCTCCAAAAACATAGCAAAAACGAATGCAAACAGAACAAGAGAACCTGAACCACGCGACCCAATGAGACCCGGCTTCTCAAAATCCCTGCTCACCTTTGTGGCTTGAACCGCAATTTACTTTTGCGTGCAAAATACAAAAATGCCATTTGGGCGCCACTCATTTATTTACGAATTAACGTCGCCAAAACGACGCTTAAATATCTATTTTTTGTAATCTTGCCAAAGATTCGGATGAGAAAAGAGTCCTTCCTCCATAGGCAAAGACTTGCCCCGTTCGGGCTGTAGCAGTATCCGCCACTTCACCATTAAAACGCGCACAGCCGACGAACTAAAAAAAAAAACACTTAATCCCTCTTTAGTCAAAACGCTACCCGACTGCACACGCACGCAAGAGAACATTGAAGGATCGTATAAACACGCACGATTCCGGTTTGTAACGTTTACAAAAGGCAGCAAGAAACGCAAATGTATGAAGCTCGGCGGACGGTGGTAAAGGAGGGGGGTGAAGTAAGAGAGTAAGAGAGAGAGAGAGAGGGAGAGACAGAAAAAAATGTGTCGGAAGCCATTTCGCTCCCGACAGCAACCAAGCAAAGAGATGAGGACGAGGTGTTTGTTACGGCCAAAAAAGAAAAAAAAAACACCATTCGCAGGCAAAATAAGCCCAGCCTTTACTCCTCAGCCACAAACACTCGGGTCTTACCACTTGGTTACCATAGGCCATGATGGCTCGCGTCTGTGGGGCCCCTTTTTTTTACAAACGACGCGGCTTCAGAGAAGCCGAGCGAGAGGTGGCCGCAGTCCGCTTATATAGGCGGCGAGCCGACTCCAATGGCGCCCGGGTAGGTCGCTGTGGGGAGGGGGGAAGGGGGTGGGGGCGGGGCTACCCTTCACATTTCCCACCACGCATAAGACGATGAACGTGTGTGTGTCCTGTGTGTGTGTATGTGTCTGTGTGTCCTGTGTGTGTGTCTCCTGTGTGTATGTGTCTGTGTGTCCTGTGTGTGTGTTGATGGTGGGGAGCGGTGGTGTAGCGGTTAGCGCGCTGTGCTATGAACCCCTGCGACCCGGGTTCGATTCTCGCTCAGGGCTAACACCACCAGTGACGATTATTTGAACCGGTCCTGGGCCTCCTCTAGGTCGACTCAGCCTGAAATTAGTACCTGGTGCGGTGTGTAAACATCGCCGCTTGGGAGACAAAGGTGGTCGGGCGTGGTGTTGGCCACCCACCCCCTCGTGTGCCGTGCCGGCTTTCATAGGTGCTCGCAAATATCACTTGCCCCAACAGTCTGTTAAGGCTATAGGGGGAATCTTTGTCTCAAAGTGCACCTGGCCTGGCACAGGCAGCGAATTATATGGCCAAGTTAACCCCCACCCCCTATTAACCATGGGTTTGTCGCTAACTATTGCTGATCTCTCGTCATGTCAGTCAGGAGGCTTTCGCGACCAATTTTATCCCCAATATACTATCAATAATATTGGTCGCGAATATTTTTTTTCATTGGAGATTTAAATTTAGTGTTTTACCACCGACTCTTTTTACTCTTCCACATTTTAATTCTTTACTTAGCTCAAAACTGCCACGTAAACAAAACATGTCAATTCGTTACTAGTTCAGCACACCGGTGTGTTGTAGAGTGAACCCACAACATTTACAATTCGAGTACGGTAATTACAACCAGCATCATCAGTCAACAGCCAGATTCGTGGAGACCTCCCCCTGTTTCGGTCTTAAATCTCGGTCAGTCAACCAATGCTATGGCACCTGGGTTTGTTTTGTGACTTCCTGCCAGCGGGCCTTCGACACTTTTGCGTGGCCTCATAGTGTACCGAGCCTGGCACAAGTGCCTTGATAGACGTCACCGCCAGTTCGTGAACAGTGGTTATAGTTGTTGGGGCCATCAACATCATCACCTTCGTTTTCATAAGCACTTTCATCCCAATATGGGCCAATATTGGGGCCAAACAGTTCCAAAGACATGCCAACATTGGCATGTTTACTGGAATGAACGTCACAATCTTCGCAATTGTCATAATTACCGTCACTGTGACCATCACTGTATTGATCTTCGAAATTGTCATAAATTCACCTTCAGTTGGAATTGTCATGATCACCGTCTACAGGAACCATCAACATAACCTTTATCACAATTATCAGCGGCATCAATACTCTTCTCAGCGCTGTTATCATTACGATCACCATCTTCAATTCTCACGATAGTCATTATAATCACCTTTATCAATCACCATTTATGATTACTACCTAGCAATAATCAATTATATTTATTATTCTTTAATTATAATCAGTCATTTTACTGGACAATATTCATAAGCAGGTTAAAAGCCATTGAGACCAAATGTCTTTCTTTTTTCAATGGACTCATAAACAAAGCATGAAACAAACGCATGAAACCAAAATCACAGCTGTGTAGGACAAATTGAAGCACAATATATACAGTATCAACATATATCAACATAAAGACTAAATGTAACACCAAACATCCACAACATTCACAAAAACAATCAAACATGATGAAGATTAACTCAACACTGCAATTACCAACTTAAATTATTTGGTGATGATGCAGTATCACAGTGGTGCACGAACAACTAAAAATATCACCACATTCGTTCATTCTTTACTTAGCTCAAAACTGCCACGTAAACAAAACATGCCAATTCGTTACTAGTTCAGCACACCGGTGTGTTGTAGAGTGAACCGGGGTGCACACACGACCAAGCAAGCCAGAGGCCAGAGCTGAAAGGCATCCAAATTAACAGGGAACATTGGGCAAAAGTTTTCAACCAAGTGCAAACGTCGGCCCTATGTTGGCCCAACATTATCCCTAGGCTGGCCCAACGTTGGCCTTACGCTGGCCCAACGTTTGACCAACGTTAGCCGAACGTTAGCCCAACGTCAAACCAACGTGAGTCGAACGTTGACCCCCAACGTGTGGGCCACATTCACGGCAAACAAGTGAGCACGCGTGTCCACTCTACGGATTCCAATCAAACGTGTTTGACCCTCGTGCGTGATTGGCCCGCGGTGGGCGGGCGGACATGACGTCACGACGCGGTATTTAAGGCGCTCTCGAGGGCCGCCGTCGCATTTAAGGCGCGGCCAAAGCCCTCGCTGTGGGCAGACCGCGCGTACCCCGTTCACGGCTGCTGCTACTGCTGCTGTTGTTGTTGTTGTATTACCACCAATGCCCTACTGGCGGCGGTGTGGCCGGATATGCCGTCTGTGCCTTGCCACAGTTCTCCAAAGCTGTTGTGTGCGCCAGCAACTCGGTCAAACCGTCAAAGACACGGCAACGCGTGTGCCACGAAAAAGGGTGGTTGCCCGAAACGTCGCCGATTGTGACATACCTGTCCTGATACGTTCCATTCATTGGCTACCACATTCTGATGAGCTCCCCCCCCTCTCCTCCCCCCTCAACTCGCTTTTAAGGGATTACATCTTGAATCATTGCCTCACTTGATGCAGCTAATCTGGCTGTGA